TAGAGGTATTTAGCAAACACACAGGCATGGCATGGCATGGCTGTAACTTACTTAGATTTGTAACTTAATTTATGTTCAGTAAGTGCTAAGTAAATATTCTTGTGAACTAAAATTCAGCTAATATTTAAGCTCACTGAAGATGCTTTATTCTACCTGTAGTCATAATAACTTTATCAACTGAAAAGCAGTTTGCTCTGTTAAATGGCCCAACGAGAGCCCATCAACTTTTGCCACATTGTGGAGCCACTCTGCAGCGCTCTTTATTGGAAAAAGTATAGATACTATATTGCAATCAATACTGAATGATTCTGCAACTTTTGCTTTCGTATTGCCTCTCTGCACTCTCTAATGACTCTCGTATTATCATCATCATGCTCTCCGGAAGTTTAAATGTCAGGGCTAATTAATTAAGATGGTTTGCCTTCTCTTATTAATCCCTTAGGTACTGAGAACCCATTCCCTTTAATCAGAAGCAGCTGTGACCAACATGGCACGAGAGACGGAAAAACATTTTACTCCCAGGTACTTCCTATAATTACATTTCTGAAACAATAATTAAAGTAACTGTTGCTGTAATTCTAGTAATAAGGTTAAAATGTGTCGCTACAATTTCACTTCCCGAAATTCCATCCAAATGATTTGTGAATGTATCTGTGACAGCCTATCATGTGCAATGTTGCTCAAGAAATTGGTGCCTTCCGCACGTGATGATAATTTCTGAGTCTCTACTTTTGCAATAGGCTCTATCTAGATGCCAAAAATTTACTGAAGAACCAAGCCCTTGCCTTTTAACTATATCACCATTGCTACTCTTTCATTTTTTTTACTGAAGCACCTCTTTTGTTAGATCTTTGTTTTGCTTTCTAATGCATATATCAAATAAAGTTGCCCATTTTCCATAAAAAGATTATAATTCAGTTGCACTTATTTCTTAAAGGGAAATAGTGTAGGAAAAAAATAAAGCATTTAGTATTTGTATACCAGTTCAACACTTTTTTTTTTTAATTTAAATACATTGGGCTTGTTTATAAAATGACCATTTAAAAGACAGGGTTATCTAAACTACATTCATATTATTGAAATAGTTTTGATCACTGAGTTGACCTGTTCTAAGCTTGCCATTTACTGCAAATATCCATCCACTAGAACCTGACAGCTGGTTTTCAGTCTGTAGAAATGCGATGTGGGTAGTGACTAGCACCTCACTTTATGTTAATCAAGGTCTAGATGTTCACCAGCTCCACAGCTGGAGCATTTTTTACATACCTGATTTCCCAAGCGCTGGGCTACAGCTGATTTTCTGAATCCTCTCTAAATGCCCAAACTAATTTTTCAAGCTTTGGACGGTTTCTTCAAAGCAGATTTACCTCCTGGGGTAGGAGTATGCAAGCTCCCATGCCTCTGAGTTACAGCTGAAGAGACGCCGGGTCAGCTCCACGTGAAGTTCATTCCACACGATTTAAGAGCGAGACAAACAGTGCTTTGCTATGAGAGCAGGACAGAGCCTGAAATGAATCTCTAAGACAATTCTTGATAGAGCTAATTGACATCTTTTAATTCAGTCTCCCTGACAAACATGGCACTCAGTATGTGTTTTACTATATTTATATAAATGCACTGAAACCACAGAATTCTTGAAAAAAGTTATAAAAAATACATTTTGATGAAGTACCTTCCTTTTTTTCCCCCCAGGTATTCTGGTTAGTAAAAAGAACTATTTGCTAGTATAATTCACACCTGCTGAGCAGTTACAGTTATGACCAACAGAACATGATGTTATGATTTTAAAATATATGTTGTTTTATTTTGATTTACTAATCACACCTTGAAATGAGCTAACGATGGGTTTACAGCCCATTGTCTCTCTACTCAGGCACACAAACACTCTCCTTTAAATCTGAATTATTACAGGATGCTTTTCCTTACCTTCTGCAACAGCAATAGAAAGGGATGCCTCATGCACTACAGAAAAGCAGGCCAGTCTATTTTAACTTCTGTTGTCTCGGAAACAACTTTATTTGAGACAACAGGAACAGAGATAAACAGACTTTGCAAGTTGTGTTTATCAAGTAAACTTACTTGCTATTAATTTTACCCATTCATCAGGAATTTTAAAATTTCCAGTTATGTACTTTTAGGTAATAAAATGTCTTGCTTCCAGTAGATTAACACAGTTATTTATCATTATTTGCAGTGTTGCTGCTGTAGTATCCTTAGCATGGGTGATGCTTGCAGGTGTAAAGATGACTTGGTTCTTGTTCCCAGACAGCAGACAAGAGTTTGTGGTCCTGAGGCTGGGATACACAACAGGTACGCAGAGCTCTGCTCCTGCAGGGCCTCCCTGATTTTAAAGACAAATTCTGTTCAGGAGATGTAATCTCTCCAGGCATTGAATATTGCTTGAATTGATAATAATACATGAGAAATTATTCTGCTGGAGAGGGAAGAAGAAAGGAAACAGCTGGTTTTACTTCATTCACTCTGGGTTTTCTGGTCATTGCTAACTGGATGAGCTCTATTCCACCAGCTAGGTTTTCCTCTTTAAAGGAGTTTGAAAACTGGCAGAAGTTTGGGAAAATCATATCAGGACAAGCACATGGCTCTCTGTATCTCCTCATAAGTAAAATAATTCCCATTTCCTCTCTTACTCTCCCAGTAGCCAAAAGGCAACCTCAGAGATATGGCCACTGGCCCTGAGACATTGAACCAATGATGCACTTGCTCCCTATGTGTAAAAGATCTTTTGTTTGTAATCCAGGGAGAAGGAGAGGGGTTTCTGCATACTTTCAGCATGGTCAAATGAGTTTGTTACATGATTTTTTTTAGTCCTAACCACTAAAAATCATGTGTCAGCATCCTTCTTTTGACTGACATGTTTTATCCACAGGGATCATTTTCTCTGGAATGGGAGTAAAACGTCACTTCTTACACAGAGCGTGACACTGCTGCCAGAAGGAAGGAAGCCTTCACCCACCAACCTGTGAGTCTCTCACCATCGTGTTACTGACACGGCTTGATGATCAACTACTTGGAACAGCTTTTGTACAACCTGCAAAAATACACAGAATTGTTTTATTTCTAAAGTCTGGCTGTGCTGTAATCCAGAAGGAAGATAAGCATTTTGGACATACGATCCTCACACCTAGCCATCCTCCTGTAACAGCACTTGTTAATATTTTTGTCTCCATCATTACAGTATTTCCACTCATTTGGAAGTTGACCCTGCCTTAGCAGGAGGCTAGATCAGATGACCTGCAGAGGTCTCAACCTAAGTAAGTCTGTATTTCTATCACTTATCCTATTGAAAAGTTCTGCAATATTCTTCTTTTTATTAAAAGAAACACGACATCCAAAACCTCAAACAAGTTCACAACTTTACACTGAGCAGTCGCTGGAGTTATGAGGATATGTATTTCTCCTTTAGTATGCATTTTATTGCATGGAGAATGTTTCGTATTTTTATAATATATTAAGTTATCTTGTCTACTGTATTTTTGTTCATGGTGTAATCTGTTCAGTTGCTAGTATTTGACAGTCAGCGACTAAAAACGTGGTATAATTTTAAATATACATTTATGTTTCAGTTGCTGAATCCCAGTCATACCCCAGTAGACTTGCAAGAGATCCTACCTAGCATTTTGGTTTATCAAACCAGTGGTTCTGAAAGCTGTTCCAACTAACACTTGTGCATAAGTTACAACAGCTGTGAGAGGACTTCCTATTTTTTACCTACAAAGACTTTCATAACATTAAATCAGATTTAGATCATAAACTACATCAACACCAACAGAAGCTAAATGTGCTGTCTTTTGTATGTGTGGCTTAAAGATATTTTATATCTATTTACACAAATTAGTATGTCTCACCTCAGTGCAACATTTTTAATAATGCAAAACTGACTGAACCACAAGCCATATTGATGTAATATTAAACACTGGATTTAAATTCACAGAAGCAGGAATGCTGACAACACAGGTCAAACTTCCAATCATTTAACTGCGTGTTTTGATATTGCATGAGCTTTTGAGGAAGGAATAAGTGGGTAATATAACTCAGATGCAGGCCGATTCAAGGATGTTCAGACAGGATAAATTTTAGAAATAAAATGGAATGACACAAACCAGCAAAGCCCAGACTCTGACACCTCTGCTTGAGAGTTTATGCCAAACTTCTATTATTGTATGTAGTGGAGTTTTATCCAATTCAATAAATAGAATAGTATCTATTTTATGTTATGATTAGTTAAAATATACTATTTGTTGCATAACAAATTTCAAGCATTGTCAAAGCACAGAAGTACAGCTACCATCTACATGTCTCCACATATCACAGACAGGACTGCTACAAGTGCCTCTTATAAAGGCTTCCCAACGCCTCCCATTATGAGACTTTTACTGTACTTGCAGCTACCCAGTTTTGAGGTTTGAACGGAATTTCCTTTATCAAGTGTTATTTGTACCTCACATATTGCTGTGTGGAAAGGTTAATCCAGAACAGCTCAATCACTCTATGCATAAGACAAAGGAAAAGCATATACTTCAGTGTAATACAGCTACCTAAAGTAGAAAAAGTTAAGGTTGGAAAGGCAACGTTAAATTTAAATATTTGGCCAAGAAAAATTAAAATTGAAGTCATCATTACAATTGTAGAGTCAAGCAGTCAGGTTGGGAAATGCCAGAATTAGAGGCAAATACCTACCAAAAGGCACAGAACAGTGTGTGTACTATTTCACCAGACTCCCACAACAATGAGGGTAGGTAACAGCAACATAGCTTTGGAAACATAGTTTCAAAATCTCCCACTGAAGAACACTAGGATACAGGTCTCCAAGAAACTTACAGAAATGAAACTGGGGATATTCTCCACCAAGTAAGTCTCTAGAAATTTCAGGCTAGTCAGCCACTTCACACTACATTTATGATGCAAGAGTCAAAGCTGAAATAAAGCAACCACTCCTGTCCAGAAAACAAAAATAAAACCCATACAAGTTTTTCTTTATTTTAATTAGAAGTAAAATAAAATGTGACATTTCCATCTAGAAGCCACTGACATATGCTGTGGTAAATTCAAACACAGAGAGGTGGTTTTAGCTGTCAGATTCCTCCCAAATTCAGCTTCTCCCTCTTGCACTGGAGCTTTGTGCAAGCCCTGATATGCCTGAGGAAAACATCCATTCAAGGCAGCCGCTGGAGTTCAAGCTTATCGGCGGATGGTGCTTCAAAGACGTCATCTTCAACGCTTTCTTCTATCGGCTTCATTTTTGCCGAAGTTCTCAGGTAGGGAGACGTCCGGCCTGGGCCTGCCACAGTTACAAAGAAATTGCCAATTAATTTAACGACACATACCTGCTACATACACCTATTCATGACAAAACGTACACAGTCTGATGATCCTGTCCTAGTTGCCTCGTGAGAGGATTTTATAAGTGAAGGTTTCTTTGTTACTCGGCCACAGGGATCAGGGAATTCTAGACGTGGGACAGCCATGCTGCTGCGAACCAGCAACGCGCCTCTGAGGTTCAAACCCTGCGGCTGGCCACAGGCACAGTATTCTCCCCAAATTCTGACTGCATGAGGTGCCCAACGCTGTGTCTCTGGCCATCATTTTCTCACCGTTACACTCACCCACTAATTCTTCTCCACAAACGATGATGTGAATGACTGCCCTAAGTACAAAAGGTATTTACGTTTGCCTCAGCCGTGAAAAAAAATCCCTCAGTGTACTGGGCAAACCTCAGGTAGGTACCTGATCACAGCCCTAACTGCCTTAAAAGCAAGTAAAACGTATGGAAAATATAATACGCCCATAAACAACCCTAGAGAAAACAAGACTAACAGGTGAAAGACACATAACTTTTGACTGACAATGACTTCGTTGCTCTAAGACAGTCTTTCAGAAAAGCAGTGCCTCATAAAGCCTGCCAGAGTGGAGCGCACACAATGGCCATCGCTGGTAAGACATTAAATGGAGTTTTTGTGCAAGTTACCACTGCAAACTACCTCTACTGTAGTTAAATTTTCAGCATGAGGGTTAAACCAGAGAGCTCCTTTGACATCAGCCAAACAGGTTTATTTCCCATTGTTCACTCTGAAATTGCTTCTGCACTTGGACAGTTTTTCTCTCGGTACCCTCTTCTAGAGTTAAACCACCACAATGGTACAAGGTTGCAAACATCTAGCATATGATGACCAAAAAGACCATTTCAGAAGAAAAGAGCAAGAGGTAGTGGTCCTGTCTGACAGATAGTCTGTATACAAGCTAAAAATTCAAATTTTCTTGAAAAAAACACTGATAGCCATAACATAACTGTTATTGCAGGGCTATTCTTACTACTTTAAAAAAGTTTATTAGATATACAGTAAAGTGCTCTGCTAAGGAAGCCTACTTATGTAGATGGACTCCTTTGTGCTGCATATGTTACACACAGAGAACAAAATACTAGCTACAGGCAAGACCAGCAGGTTATCACATTACTGCATTTTTAAGTCACATTCACACAAACACTATTCAGAATTAGCTTTTTAGAATATTTTATGTTAAAAAATGTATTAGTATTTTCTTTTACCATTCAAAAACTACAATGATAAAGGTTATTTGCACACATTTTTAAATACTGGAATTGTTAAGCGCTTTTTTACTTTATCACTAGTTTATAACCATTTTTAGACCAGTTCTCTTTTTAACAAAAAAGTGCTTAGTTCTCTCCAGAAATCAGAAGAAAGAAGCCATAAGTCTGTTGAACAGGATCCAATATTGGGTCTAACACTGTCAGGTTGTTTGGTTCAAAGACATGCCCTTCTTTTCTCCAAATACAACCCCCTTGTCTATTGATGCCTCAATCCAGCGTTGGACAGTTGTTGAAGAGACAGTCTGATCCTGAACCCGGGCCTTCCATACGTTACTCTGATGCACTCTCTTGAGGACCTAAGCTTAAATGCCTATTAAGATGGCATTTCCCATGAAACCCAATCCTGCTTTTAACCACAAGCTGGGTATAACATAGGGAGCCCACACAGTGAGATAATACCAATAAAAGGATTACCAAATCAAACCTTTTCTACGTTCCTGCTTAGCTTAGAAGTTTGCAAATACAGATTCATAGACCAGCAAATCTGACTGATCTAAACCAAGCAGCACAGAAAAAGAGACCGTATCACTAAGTATATGAATGACTATCAAGCAGTAGAATTATTGAATCGAAACTAATACCAACATGTTTTCTAAAAGACTGAAAGTTAGGTGAAGCTACCCTTGTAATCAGGTTGAACTATTTCTGCTTAACTCAAATTTTGGAAAAAGAGATGCATCGACTTCATTTACTAATAAATTACATACAGATGGACCATGGATGTCAAGCACAAGTACCATGTTATAAACAAACCCCACTTTAATACCTTTTTGAGGATGCTTGCTGAGTTAATGTGATGTTATCAACAGAAAACATCATGCTGCAAACGACTCACTCCGTAAGCATTATAGAACTCTTGTTGGTTATTTCCTTAACATAAAAGCAAACAGTTAGTTGGGTTTCTTCGTTAATTAAATTCAAAACACAGTTTTGTTAGTAAGTGTAGTTTGGGGCCCTCTAATTAGTATTTTCCACTCTTTCACTACTAAACACTTTGAAAAATCTTCCTATCAATGTCTTAAGAAAATGACTCAAAGCTTATTGTTTGTAGCACAGATAAAAGCATCATTTAAAAAGTTTAGATTATACAAAAATATAAATGCTCAATTTTTCAAGAATATGGAAATTAGGAGAATAAAACTTATTTTTATTGTAGTAGTCAAGTATCTTATTTGTAATGGGAAGCTTTTGTCCACAGAACAATTGATCACCTAGCAATGACAAGACAGTATTCCTGTAGAGCTCCTGTACAGATAAGTTTCTCTTACTAATTTCTCCTTCCAATTAAAAAAATTAAAAAGTTTGTCATTTCCATATGTTCCTCACTAAATCTTCTGGAGTTTTGGGGGTGGTTTTTGTTTGTTTGTTTACATAAACGAATGCATGATTGCAGAAGGAGGATCCAGGGGAACAGCACTGGGACAGTATGCCTCAGTATGTACCTCATACTGAAACTTAAAAAACAGACCAAAAAAAACCCCAAACCCTGACTGTTGCACTGAGGGCACCCAGGAGAAAGTTTTTGAAAACACAAGTGGGAAGACAAATGGCAGGTTTTTTGTTCACTTTTCCCGGTGATCTGAAAAAAAGTGCATACATGGCCACAATCCAAATTGAATATAAATCTTTAAGCAGAGCTCACCTTGGTAGCAAACCCGTCATTGGCAATGACAGTACCCAGGAATAACTAACAAGCTATTTTGGCAAGAAGAAAGATTGAAGTGTTACAGTTTAGTGAGATAAGTAACCTTTCATCAAGAATTTTTATCAGCCTTCTACAGAAGTCAGAAATTTCACATTAAAATGCACAGAAGAAATAAAGGACGGTATTTCCCGAGGTGTAGGATAGACTGCTGTACGGGTAACCCCTCTGCCTCCCCAGAAGTGAGGGAAGTATTGGGTGCAGGAGGCTGCTGCCACACCTACTGTTTCCAGTGGGATAGTGGCACTATAAACTTCACCAACTGCTGCTGGACTGAGCAATTTTGGAACATAAAAGACATTTAAACCCCTCTTTTGGGGAAAGTACACCCCACACACCAGAAAATATGGTACACAAACCAAGGAAAAGTACAACAGAGGAAAGTGTATTTATCAAGTATGTGCTAAGCATGGATGCATCTTAGGGATTAATGTCATTACAGCTGAACATGTCATGCATTTAGATTACTCCCAAAGCTGAAATACTGGTCTCAGTGTTCTGCTGCTAAGCCTGAAAGAGAATTTTAATTCTAGCTGATTGCAGAAACACATTTTTACAATTTCTTTCAGGCTTCTGAGTGTGCAACTTTGTCCAAGGGTGCTCTATGCAAAGGAGTGGCTTCAGTTTCATGGAGCTTTGCCGTGGAACAGGTGAAAAGCCAGTCGAGAGCTTATGGGTTAAGATGAGAGAACAGACCAACACAGGGAACTTCATGGCAGGTAACTGCTACAGGCTGCCCGATCAAGAGCATGTAGATGGAAGCCTTCTTTAGACAACTCGATGAAGCCTCACGATCGCAGGCCTTGGTACTCGTGGGGAACTTTAACCAGCCCGGTATCTGGTGGAAAGGCAACAGGGCTGGGTGCAAGCAGTCCAGGAGATTTCTGCAGAGTGTACCAGATAATTTCTTCACAGAAGCAATCGATGAGCTGACTAGGAGAGGTGCTCTGCTGGACCTGTCACTGATGAACAAGGAAGAACTCATCAGGGAGCTGAAGGCTGATGGTAACTTTGGCTGCAGTGTCCAGGATCTGGTGGAGTTTAAGATATTGAGAAGTGTGCAAGACAAATAGTAGAGTTACAACCCTGGACCTGAGGACAAGGGACTGCGGCTTGTTCAGGGATCTACTTGTCAGGAACCCATGGCACATGGTCTGCAAGGGCAAAGGGACCTGAGGACAGACAGTTGATCTTCAAGGACACCTTCCTCAAAACACAAGAACAGTCCATTCCAGTGTACAGAAAGTTGAGCAAGCATGGTAGAAGGCTGGCATAAATGAACGGGAAAGTCCTAAGAGAGCTCAAACGCACACACATGAAGTGGAAGCATGGATGAGCTGTTTGGGTGGAATACAGAAACATGGCCCAAGCATGCAGGGATGGAATTAGGAAAGCCAAAGCTCAGCTGGATCTAGATATAGTGAAGGGCAACAAGAAGGACTTCTACAAATACACTGGCAACAAAAGGAAGACCAGGCCCAGAGGCCATGGCTCAGCAGGGCACAGGACCTACGGACATGGAAAAGGCTGATATATTCAATACCTTTTTTGCTTCAGTTTTTACTTTACAGGTTTGTCTTGAGGCCTCCCAGTTCTGAGTCTACTCGTAGAGACTAGGAGAGCAATACTTACTTGACTTACAGGAAAGACAGACTGAGTTAGGGACCACTTAAGTCAACAGGGTAAACACAACACTCTGGAATCACATGGGCTGCATCCAAGGGTGCTGAGTGTTGGCTGATGCAATTGCAAGACCTCTCGCTATCATCTTGGAAAGGTCATGGCAGTCAGGGGAGAGAAAAAAGGCAAATGTTGTGGCCATTTTCAAGAAGGGCAAGGAGAAACATCCAGGGAACTATTGGCCTATCAGCCTAACCTCAGTCCCCAGGAAGATTATGGAGCCCGTCTTTCTGGAAGCCATGTCCAAGCACATGAAGGACGGGAAGGTAACTGGGAACAGCCAGCATGGATGTACCATGGGCAGATTGTGCCTGACCAGTCTGACCACCTTCTGTGGTGAGATGATGGGCTCTGTGGACAGAGCGAGTACAGTGGATGTGGTTTACCTGGACTGTAGCATGGCCCTCCACAGCCTGCCATAGAATCATTCTAGCCAAATGGGTGAGAAATGGACTAGATACATGGACTACAGCTTGGGTAAAAAAATTGCTGGACTGCTGAGTTCACAGGGTGGTGAACAGCAGTACAAAACCCATCTGGCAGTTGGTTAGCAGCCGCATCCCTCGAGGGCCAATACTAAGGCCTATAATGTTCAATATATTAATGACCTGGATGATGGGATGGAATGTACTCCCACCAAGTTCATAGACAACAGCCGAGTAGTGAGGGAAACTGTTGATAGGCCAGAGGGTAAATGGCAGCTAGTCAGAACGGGCCTTCAGAGGCTGAAGAAAAGAACTGACAGAAACCACATGAAGCTCAACAAAGACAAATTCCTGCACCTGGGACACAACAAACCTACACAGCAGTACAGCCTGGGCATCAACTGGTTGGAAAGCAGCTTTGCAGAAACAGGCCTGGGGCTTCTGGTGGACACAAAATGGAATATGAATCAGCAGAGCGCCCCTGCAGTGAAGAGGGCCATCCATGTGTTGGGCCATATTAGCAGCATATATTGGGCCATATTAGCAAGAGCATAGCCAGCAGGTCAATGAAAGAGATTAATCCCCTCTATATGGCACTTGTGGGACAGGATCTGGAGTGCTGTGTCCAGTTTGGGGCTTCCCCGTACAAGAAAGACATGGACATACTGGAGCGAGTGCAGTGGAGAGCAACCAAGATGGTCAGGGGCTGGAGCACATGACGTACACAGAGAGGCTGCAAGAACTGGGTGTGTTCAGCCTTACGGACAGAAGCTTCTCAGGGGATGTTACTGTTGTCTTCAGCTACCTAATGGAAGGGTATAAAGAAGACAGAGCCAGACTCTTCTCGGAGGCATGCACTACAGAACAAAGGACAAGAGTCACGAGTTACAATAAGGGAAACCTTTTTCACCATGAAGGTGGTAAGGCCCTGGAACAGATTGCCCAGAGTGGCTGTGAAATCTTCCACCTTGGAAATATTCAAAGCTTGACTGGACATGGCCCTGAGTAACCTGCTCTAGCTGACCCTGCTTTGAACATGGGGTTGGACTAGACGATCTCCACAGGTTCCTTCCAACTTCAACTGTGCTGCGATTCTAAATGTCCTTTCAGGGAACAGAGGAGAAATAAAGAAAATAACACTGGAATTTTCATCAAACTTTATCCCAGCTGTCATCCTCAACATTGTAGTAGGGTGAAACACTAGCAGGGTTTTTGCTTCCATCTATCTGAGCATGCAGACTATACCAATGTTAAGGACTGAAAACAGATAGGCCCTCCAAGTCTGAAGGAGTTCCTGGATGAGAACTGTGAGGAACACAATACAGAACAGATAATTAAATGGGAAATTGCAAATACTTCAATCACTTCCTCTTCTTAGCAGAGAGTTTAACCATAATAAGTAACTGGCAGTGAATTTTCTTCCTCATGTATTTGAATTCTAATCACTAAAGCATAATGTTTCCCAAATAAAAACAAATAATCCTATATGATGCTTTTAAATTCCATTAAAGTAACAGCTTATGTCAAATGAGAAAATTGAGCATCTTCTGGTTTTTTTTGTTCAAAAGCTGCTTGCAGAGTTCAGGCTACTGTTGAAATTAAGATACAGGAAAATTAAAAGTAAAAAATAACAATAGCCTAGAAAGAATCATTTAGAAGGTTTCTATAAAGGAATAAATTCCAAGAAGAGAAGCAAAAAGGTCAGACTTGGTTTCTTCCCTCACTTAATTTCATCTGTTCTCTAATACTCCTGTCATAGAAAGAACAAGGGAGGAAAGCCTGACAGGATATTTGGAGATTTTCCAGGTGGCATCAAAATATTGGTTGTACACCACACTTCTCCAAACCCTGCCAATGTAAACTATCTCAGGAGGAAATGCAGAGCACCAAGTTGCTGACGGAAAAAGTTTCGTTTAGGTTTTTCATTTCTACAAGCACCAGTCACAGACCAAAGGAGATACTGTGACAGGCATTGTCCATTCACAGTTTTGCCCCATTGCTATAAACATTCCGTATTATGCCTACACATTCACATTATGCCAAAAATTATCACAATACATGCTGGGGTTTTGCCAGTATCTACATGAGATAGCTTCAGTTAGCATACAAAGCCCTGTGTATCTTACGAATTCCCTACAGTTAGGTCCCTCCACTTAGTCGACGTGCAGCAGCATCCAAAAAGCTACAGTCTGCTCCCACTGAAGACAACAGGAGTTCTACAATCACCTCTTATGATCAACCAAGCTGTATTGAAAACTGGCATGAACTATTTTGAGCACTCACGAAGAGAGGATGCAGAGGAAGTCCCGCGAAGAAACATCTGCAAACCATCCTCACTGTCACTGGTACTGGCTATACTGTTTCTCATCTGCATCACAGAGAGCTGTGAGCAAAGACTAGGCTGTCGATCAATCTTTTTTGAAGCCTAAAAAGGAATAATAATTATTATTTTTAAAAAGGTATCAAGTAAATTAAAATAAAAATGGAAAATAACTATCTCTTCTGTAGTAGGTGCTCTGGTCTCAGTTATGACTATTCATGAATCAAGAAACTGGTTAGAGCAGAAGATTCTATGCAGTGTGAATTGATTTAAATGAAAATAGAAGATGCCAGTAATATACTGGAATTAGAACACTGACAAGCATGAAACCTCAGATTAATTATTCAATTTTAATTTTGTTTTGCACTGGATTTTTTGTATATTTTCCTACAGAAAGGTTAATATTTATTATTTGGTAATTCATTATTCAGGTATGATGCTCTGCAATTAAATACATCCTTTATGATGAGCCTGATGCCCCTTGCTAAACAAGACAGCATGTTATACAGAGTTTAGCAATTTATATCTTAACAGAAACATGTTCATTTTCCTGGCTTTTCATTTCATCACATTAGAAAACAGTGAATGTCATTCATTCGTAGTAGATGATCATTTGGCCCTTGATTTTACTGAAGGCAGATTAAATGCATCACATGAACATTATCCTCTGCCTGTCAAATGGTCTTAGGAGCTTCCATTTGCTTTGAGTAGTCTTCTTGAGAAGTCTTTGTGCTATAATATTTATATCAAACCATACATTGTTCCTTGTTAGGTATTACTGCAAGTCAGAATGCTATTTTAGGTGTATGTGAAAGGTAGTTACCAATGACAAAAGAGTCATGGATAACTCCACTTTACTGAACTTTAAAAGTCAGGAATTAGCATCCTGTTTCACGTGGAGAGGAATGACTATTTTCCCAACAGTAGTGAAAAATCTCCTCAGGTAGGAGAAAAATCACAAGGTTCCTTACAAATAGATACTTTTCTGCTTTCCAATATGCAATGAATTGATATTCTTATCTTCTTACTAGCATCTTGACTATGAATAATCTATACTGAATTTGTTTTAGTTGTCCTCTTGTACATCCCCTGTGTACAGAAGTCAACTACAAAATTTTCTGAGATTGTCTCCGGCTAAAATGCATTAAAGACACCGATAATGTATGTAGTTGACAATAACGCCTGTGAGAAGTGACATGCCCATAGGGTGCTGGCAATGGGGAAATGAAAGAGAATTTACTTGATAGACATTTCTTGTCCTATGTTTTGTAGGAAGGGCTTGTGCAACAGGATTTGCATTTGAGGAAGAATAAAAAGGTACTACAAAATCTCCCAAATGCTCACTCTTAATTTTTATAACATACATTTTCAAAAGTTACTGTGATAAAAGTTACAATAATTTTAAATTCATGTGACTATTGTCACTAAAAATAAAGAGTTGGTACAAACTGAAGTTAAAGTGTGCAGATGTTAAGTCAACAGAGGGGCAAAGCTTGGTGTTTTTTTTAATATGTAAAAGGTATGATAAGGACCTTTCACTTAAAAACAACCAATTACAACATCACAATGAGTACTTCATCATACTTCCATTTCAGTAAATATTTATACTAGTGCTGAAGCTCTACAGTGCCAGAAGTCAGCAGCACAAGTTTGTTGCAGATGACTCTGTATACTAGGCATGACACCCTAATGCTGTCATCCATGTGTAAAAAAAGAAAATGAGGGAAGGAAAAAGGAAAGAAAAAAGGAAAATAAAATAGACAATAGAAAAGAGGAAAAAGGAAAACAGAAAAAAACAGAAAAAAGAAGAAAGAGGAAAAAAGAGGGGAAAAAGGGCAAGGTGAGAAGGAGTGTGGACAACAGCAGTCTCCCAGGAGAGGCAGTCTGAATGCACACAGAGGAGGCATGTCACTACACGTTCCTTTCGGATGCCATACTCCAGAAATAACTTACTGTCTATGTAGATGTGGGTTTTAATACAGAAGACTCCCCTGTAATTCTTTTATTGGTTTGGATTTTTTTTTTTAAAGCAGCTTTATTCACATAATTTTTAAGATGTATTTTATAGATGGTACATTCCTGCTACATCATTTTTATCTTACTGCATTAGTAAGATGAAAACAGTGATCTGAAATAGTTTTGAGGATCTCATTACAGGACAGTGTAATCCTGTATTTCATTGACCAGAAGGCAGAATAAGCAGTGCTTTATTGCTGTTAAATTGTTTCTCCAGCAATTCTTTCTTTTCTCTTTCTATAGCCAGTACAAAATTGAGAAAACTTACAATGCCTAATTAGCCATAAAGACATTACAAGTTTAGCCTGTTGAAGTCCGTTGTATAGTTGCAGTCATTCCTTTTGGATCATTTTCTAGTAAATTCACAACTTTGCAGAAGTAACTATTTAACCTATATATGAGATATTCATGGGCAATCTGATGAAAAAGATTTTTGCCGTAGTTAGTGAGTTGAATAAATACAGACAGAATACAAAAATACTGTATTATAAAATTATAAAGCTTTTCATAAATGATGGTGAAAGTTCTTCAAATAAATTATATATGAGAACCCTACAGCCACTACATGAATAATAAAAAAACCCACCAGCAGCCAAGTTACAGTCCAAATCTTGAAAAGCCATGTAACTAAGTAAGGAGACAAAATAAAAGTAAAACAAGATAATCAATATATCCATGACTACACCCAGACCACTTGCTGTGACACCTAAAACACACTCCCTCTACATGCAAAGAAGAATAAGTTATATTCAGACCACTGAATATTTTATATTTATTTATATTTTATATGTATTTCATGCCTCCTTCCACTAACTACATTGTATCAACCTAATGTTTTGGGGTTTTTTGTATTTGCAACCCTCAAACACTTGTTGAAATTATTCTTCTTGGCAATCAGTGTTACCCAGTTGTTTGGCCCTAGCAAGCAAATTCTTTAAGAAAAAACCCTGAAGCTTCTTTGTATAAAGGCACCCATTTGTTAATGAGAAAGGATATCCAGGGAGAAGCACCTTTTTAGCTACTGGCCATCATGTCTACCAGTTGGCTAGAAATACTTGTCGTACTGATCACTTCTGAATCTCAGTTATTCATCTTTCTCGCACATTACTGTGCTAACTTTAACCAATATTGCTTCTGACAAAAAAGTTGCACTTTGGCACTAAAAGGCAAAGAGTGTGAATTCAGCAGCTGATAGCAGCAAGTTAAAAAAAGGTGCTTTAAGAGGATTTAAAATTGAAGTAACAATACATTTGTGCGGCGGAGGAAAATTCCCAAATGAAACTTCAGTTGCTTACCTTGTCATTTAAGGTTGGGTCATTCAATGAATAGAGTTTATTTGTAATATCTTTGCCAATAAGATACTTAAAGATCTCATAAAGAAATGGCTCAGATTCCAGAAAGTAAGTCAGCCTTTCCCTGGACCAGCACAGGAACTTGCAGTTATCATCTGCGATAATGGTGACCTGAGAAAATACATGCTCAGAATTAGCACTTCTCTTTTCTTTAAAATAAGTGATACCATGTTATTTGTGCCTCCAGTTAAAATAACTCTTAAAGCCAAAAAACTTTTCAGTATCCCTTAGAACACAATATTTACAAATGTAAAACATCTCAGATATTTATTATCATCCTATTTTTAACTGATAAGCACAGCCAGTTCGTTTTTCAGAAAACCTGGGGGGATATACTAGGTGAAAATCTCTCATAAGTTCCCAAACTGTAAAAGCATTTATGTTAGAGATTTACATAAAAAGTCAGTCCTGCAGTGATGACGCTGCTTGCATCCCAATATGCCTACATGTCACTTGGTTTTATTTTATGTCACTGTCACCAAACAGAAACAACTGGTATAATCCAAAGGTCTCCATCAAAGAATTTTTAGTGATTTTGAAAAACATTTTCATCTTTCTCTTTTCACTGTCAGCCCTGCTGACTGCACAACTACCACCTTCTAGCAGTTGAGGTAAGGCTCCGTTTGCTCAGTTACTGATAATTCAGCGACTGATAGTTCCAGAGGAGCTTGTACGCCCTCCAGGGAGGCTGGACCCACCAGGTTCATGCCCCTGTGCCAGCAGAGGGCAATGGCACACCGAAACCTGCCCCGCTCGCTTATACCCAACGGCCGGTTTTGCAAGGGAAAGGCAGGCATCTACGAAGAAATCAGGTGCTTTCTGCTATTACAAGCTAACGTTACCTGCTGCAAAATTAAAAATATATAAAGCCTAAGAAATAATGGGCAACAGTCACGTATCCGTGGATTTTAACTTCACAGTCTGTAATATAAGCACACAGGCTGAGGAAGAATTCGCCAGCGTTGCCAGCAGATGGGGTCCTTAAGATTGAATCTGTGTCCTCTTGCAATGGCAACGCTGAGAGCGTTTACAGGGCAGCAACAAGCAGAACTCACGAGTGAGGGACGTACGCCGTGCCAGATTACAACACTTTTTAAGGCAGGCAGAAGCTGAGGCATGAGCCTTTTCCCTTCAGAGGGACCGATTCATATCCAGTCGCTTACGAGAGAAACAGGCTGTGCCAAGAGGGTGGCCGTGCTGCAGGACGCCTCACTGCTGCAAAATGAATACATCTGGACAATTCTCTCTCCCTGGCGTTAAGCCTAGTATTTGACTGGAACATATGACATCAATCACTGATTTTAGAGTCTACATTGCTCTCCTTCCCTCCCCTTCTGCCAGGGTATCAGTGTGGATGTACCCAGTCAGCCACAGCCCAGTCATTATTACACACACCCAGTTAAAGAACATCAAGTAAGAGGTAGCAAAATAGCCATTTCAGTACTATGGGGAAAAAAACTTCTCTAACAGCATTTTTTTCCACATGCTATGGTATAATATATCCTTTAATGTACTAGCATAATTACACTGCTAGAGACATATACCCTTATTGCTCCCTATGTGAATATTTTTATTCAAAATACTGTGATCTCTTTCAGCTTATGTTGCTTTAACAACTTTCAAGATGACAGAAGCATTACCATGTTTAGATAAATACCAGTTTCAAACTACTAGTGCCTGAATTTTTAGTCTTTCATTTTAGTAACACCAAATATTACAATAATTATTTTGCCTTTTCTGTTTTTGAACCAGTGATGAGATTGCTTACATCATCTCTTCTTCCAGTAAAGTTATCTCTTAAATTATTTGTCCTGAATAATCTCTTAACACAAAATACACTAGGAAACAGTAAAAGAGAACAGAATAGCAAAAACCAGACTGCTCAGTGAACACCATAATAATCCTGTTTTGCAGCGTTTAATTTTAAGAGTTATTCTTGATGTGGTCCATCATGAAACACCAGTACTAGAAAGCTAGCAAAATAATGCAAGCCAAATAGTTCACTGTTGATCAAATTCATACTCTGCTTTTTAATGATCTCATCAGCTCATATCCAGTGACATTTAAACCAAAGTATACCTGGAATTTCTCACCCCGGTTCATCTGTGTTGATCGAAATTCAGGAGAATCTATAAAGGCACAGGGGTAAATATTATGCAGAAAATGCCCGCGATAAGACACCTTCATTCTGGAAATAAAAATATATGAAACAACATTTTAAAGTCATGGACTTTGATTAATCTAAATTTGGATATGATTATTGACAAAGGTAAAGCAGTAGGCAAAAATATGTTCATCTTCTGGAATTTGAGCCCCAGAGCTACCCTGTTTTCTGCCTAAACCTCCATCACTTCCAAGCAGAACAGGCTGCCAGCCAATTCAAGTTGCTGAGCATGGTGCATATCCTCAAAACACTGCTATTCAAAGTGAAAAAGGTCTACAGGGTTATGCTACACAGCCAGACCAGAATCAGGTTTCCTTTACATAACTAGCTTTGCAGTAATGAGCAGCTAGTGACTTCAAAGAAAAATGATGAAGCCTGACATGACTGTTGCTATCAACAGAAACTGGTTAAAATATTGGCCAGAACTTAGGAAGAGCTTCAAGATTACAGCCTGGCCATAGGCATTTATTTTGCCCCTTCTCACCTGGGTCCTGTCAGCCTCTGGGCACTATACTTGCCTCTCTCCGCTTGCATGTACGTGTGCAATGAACCAATTCCAATAGGCCTGTTGTTTTAAAGTCTACTGGAGGAATATTTTTTCCTTCCCTCATGCACAATATTTTTAAATCTTAAAACCTGAGAATGCACTGAGAAGAGGACTTAGATATCTAAGACTGAAACAAATCTCTTGCTTGTTCTGGAAGACACTGCCTTTGATATTATACAAATATAAGTCCCACTAAAATCCATGCAGCTACACACACCAGTAGAAACGCAATATGCTGCCAGTAAGAGACATCACTGCCATTTGAAAAACAGTGTCACAAAATAGTCTATCCCTACAGACTATTTGGCTATAGACTATAATGTGCTACAAACAAAAACATTTCAAAAGCCAACAAAAACCCCAACAACTTTCTAATCTATTCAGCCATCACACAAAGCATAATACTGTCCCCAAGCTTTATAGAACCTACTTCCCCTTCAGCAGGATGCTTAGCCTATCATCAACTGATGTTTTATCTTCTGCAGCATAGGCTTGACCTGTCTTTAAAGTCTGAATGTTGCAGAATTGTCCAGTCAGTCTTTGGAAGAGCTCTGGAGGCACATGGAGAGGTTCAAACATTCTCCTGTAGAGGCTGCTAAGCTCCTTCTCTATCTTGATCTAGAATGCAAAAACAAAAGACATAATAAACACAGATGCATTAGTTAAAAAAGGGTAAGACTGCACACGTTTTACTTGCTACATTTGAGGAACATGTTTGTCTTTGTTATGTTTAGGCAAGGAAAAAAGTGGTAAATGTGTGACATCTATCCACAAACACTGCCTATGACAAGGTGACCAAAACCTTATCTAAAATTAGCCAGGCTAGCACACTGGTGCTTTAGAATGCTGTTCCATCCAAGTGGCACATTAAATCAGACACAAGGAGTCTTCCAAGACTTCTGTTGATGTAACAGCAAATAGGACTTGGGCCAAAATTACACAAAAAAATGAGGTTGCCTGCATTTTTCACACCACAGGCACACCTCATTCTGGCCATCTCTCAGGCTCTCCTGGGAGCTCCTTTCATCCCTGAGCTTCTTAGCTTACTTGCAGTAGAAAAGCAAGTCCTGAAAAACAAACCCATCATATTGAAACAACATGTGATGAAGAGAAAAAAAAAAACATTGCCAGCTGAACATCCTACATCTAGGAGCCTACCCAAACTCAGGCAGCGGCAATGAGGGAAAGGATGTTGGCTGAAATCCTAAGCCTAGAAGTCTTTCCTGAATGAAGGCAGCAGGGAATGAGACAGTGCCCCAGCCTCCCTGAAAGCAGAGGCAGCCTGAACAAAGCCTGCATATTTGCTGGGAGGAAAACAAATTAGAACAGTAAGCATCAGATAATGAAAAGATAAAATATACATAGAACAGAGAATAAGGAAAAGCAACCAAGAAAAAAGGCAGGAAAGAAGAAAAAGAGTCACCACTTCAAATGAGAATATGCCAAGTTTACGCAATTTTCTAGATTTGTTTGTACTTCAATATTAAAAACAGGGGAGAAGAGAAGGTCGCAGCACAGGAGTCCAGGAGTCACTTTTCAGCTGATGGTAGCCAACAGTGGGAATCAAGAACCTTCTAGTCACCTTGTGGATGGAGAAGGTAGGGAATCCAGAACAACCATGGGAGGCCCCAGGCTGTCTGAGGCCCATGAGGGCTTCAAACTGTCAGGTACCCACTACTTCCTCAGGAAAGCATTTTAGGGTGAAAATACTAGTCTTTACCCTCTAAGAGATACATGTATTCCACATCAAAATCCTCCCTAAGCTCTTCTCTGAAGAATTACATGTGTGTGTAAAACAGTAAATCAAGCATAATGAAAAGGTTTTGGAAAATTGAGAAGGTCTTGCTACATTTCAAGTTTATTTAAATATAGAACAAATTGAGCTGAGGCAGAAACGTTCTAGATTTGTGGAACCATATTTGGAGTATTCTACAGACAGCCTCAACCACTGGATGTGGTCCATCCCACATACCGGCTGCTGAATGCCATGGGAATCACTCTGGAAGTGACAATCCCATGGGTAGAGATGGTGGGTTAATCTCACAGAAACAGTATACAGTTCATTAGTAAATTCCTAAACAGGAGAGAGAAGGCTGCTTATGTGGCCTTATTGTTACCATTTTGTGACTTCTCAGCCTTTAAATTTCCAAAAAAGCCCAACAAAAGGATATCCCAAACCTGCAGACTTCACTTTTTACCCAGACAGCCTCAAACCATGAAAACTGAAAGTAAGTTTATGAACCACTGAGATTTTTATGCAGGCTCCATGTCAAACACACACCAATACCTGTTTCCAAGGACTTAACATGTAAAATTCTTGTGAAAGAGCTCCTGAAAACTTTCTTTTCCTCACACATAGCCAAACTTACTGTTAACTTTGTATACAGTATCTGCGTACATTTACCACCCACAACTGTATTAAAGCATTCAGTTTGATTTTTTTGATCTGTCCATACATAAGCTTCAATAAAACGTGAATTGCTGCCTCCTCAAAACATTTAAATGGATCTATTTCATTACTGTATCATAATTTTGTAACATGTCTGCCTCCTCCTATAAATTCACCTCTGCCCCAGAAATGGTATCAGGATTGATAAGAGGAGGGCTAGAATATAAGCATTCAGAGAAGATTAACAATAAAGTCATAGAATCCTAGCACAGTTGAGGTTGGAAGGGACCTCTGGAAGTTATCTGGTCCATCCCCTGCTCAGGCAGGTTCACCTAGAGGAAGGTCGTGCAGGACCACGTCCAGACAGCTTTTGAATATTCCCAAGGATGGAGACTCACAACATCTCTGGGCAAGCAGTGCCAGAGCTCGGTCACCCTCACAGTAAAAAAGTGTTCCCTGATGTTCAGACGGAGCCTCCTGTCCTGTCACCAGGCACCACTGAAAAGAGCCTGGCTCTATCCTCTTTGCACCTTCCCTTCAGGTATTTATACACATTGGTAAGATCCCCCTGAGCCTCCTCTTTTCCAAGCTGAACAGTCCTGGCTCTCCTCACAGAAGAGATGCTCCAGTCCTTAATCATCTTCACAGCCCTTCGTTGGACTCTCTCCAGTAAGTCCAGATCTCTCGTCTACTGGAAAAGCCCAGATCTGGACCCAGCACTCCAGATATGTCTCACCAGTGCTGAACAGGGGAAGGACCACCTCCCCCAACCCGCTGGCAATGCTTTTCCTAATGGAGCCCAGGATACTGTTGCCTCTTTGTCACAAGAGCACATTGCTGGTTCAACTTGTCCACCAGGACCTGCAGGTCCTTTTCTGCAAAGCTGCCTTCCAGCTGGTGAGTCCCTGGCATGTGCTGGCACATGGGGTTATTCCTCCCCAGGGGCAGGACTTTGCACTTCTTGTTGAGCTTCATGAGGTTCCTGTTGGCCCGTTTCTCCAGTCTGCCGAGGTCCCTCCGGATGGCTTCCCAACCTTCTAGCCTATCAGCCATGCCTCCCAGTCTTGTGTCATCAGGGTACGCTCTGCCCCATCATCCAGATCATTAAGGAAGATGTCAAACAGGACTGGGCCTAGCACTGACCCTTAGGTTATACTGCTAGCGTATGCACTAGTATATATAGTACGCACCTTTAACTAGACTTCACGCCCCTGATTACCACACTCAGCCCAGGCCTTCAGCTAGTTTTCAATCCATCTCACTGTGTCCTCATCCAGCCCACACTTCAACTGCTTCTCTAGGAGGATTCTGTGGGAGATAGTGTTTAAAGCCTTACTGAAATTAAGGTAGACAATATTCATCACTCTTCTCATCTATCACAGAACATTATCAGGTTGGCTAAGCATGACTTCCCCTTGGTGGATCATGCTGACCACTCCTGATCACCTTCTTGTCCTTCACGTGCATAGAAATGGCTTCCAGGATTAGCTATTCCATCACCTTCTCAGGGATCAAGGTGAGGCTGACCAGCCTGCAGGTCCCTGGGTCCTCCTTCTTGCCCTTTTTGAAGAAAGGAGTGGCATTTGCTTTCCTCCACTCCTCACATCACTGTAATTGTTCAAAGATTACCAAGAGTGGCCCCACAGTGACATCAGCACTTGTGTGTGCATGCCATCAGGGCTCATGGACTTACATATGTCCAGTATGTCACCTGCCCTGAAGTTACACTGGTTTCACACTGAATCAATTACTAATTAAATCGTCCACCAGTGGCTACATCTATATGAAACCCAGGTTTTTAATTTCCTGTATGTTCCTTATGCCACTCTCTAACACCTCAGAGGACATCTACATGGACAAAACAAGGCTTAAATTTCAATTGGCAAGAAAAATTGTATTGTGTTGGGGATTGCCCTGAATGGTTTGATTTCAAAATATGTTCCATATATGTGTAAAGTTCGACAACTATCTGTTTTGCCAACAGGTTCTCCAGGAAATCCCTCATTTTTAACAGCCTTAGCAATTTAATTTGCACCTCTTTCTATACATGACCCCTGCAACTCAAAGAAAGATAAATGGCTCAGATGAACATAAGTAGCTCCCAAGACTCCTGAATTCAAACAACACATACAGACATGAGCACAGGATTTGGCCCTGGACTGTTAATGCAATCCCTTAACTAGCACATAATACAGGTTTCATGATCCTCCTCTAATGTATAATACTTAAAAGAGAAAGCAGGCATAACCACTTTCTTAAAGATTGATCGGGTTGGACAGCATAGACATACTTTAGATGGTCTCCCTCATAACAGACTATTCACCCTTCACAAGCACAGCTGACGGCTCCTCCAGTCATGCTTGTGGGTCATATTCCAAATGAGCCATACGGGTAGGTGTAATGTTTTGTTCAGCAGTGGCTGAAATATTCTGGGACGCTGCCAGAGCTCCAAGTCAGAGTTCTGTGGAGAGAGTGATTAGTCTCAGCTTCCACTCAGACTAAAAAAGCCAAACCTGTAAAGCTCCAAGGAGTCAAAACCACAGAAATAATCTTCTGGTCAGAAAAGAAACTCACTGCTATTTTGCATGCTCCATTTAATAAAATAAATATTTAACATCTGAACATATCAATTATTCATTTTGTAATATGACTAACTTGTAATTATTCTTCCATTCCTTTCTTTCCCTAAAAACATCATTTGTGAGGATGACTAAATAAAATTGATTTTGAGATGGGCAATACAATAGTTGCAGACAAAAAAAATCTCATTCAAAATGAGCTCCCAAGAATTTATTTTCTTTTTTTTCTCCATTAGCTAGCTTTCTATAGGAAAAGCACTTAAAAACAGCCTTCAAGTTCATAACAGAAAGTGTAAGACAGCTAAAAAGACACATGTGACTACCAGGCATCCCTTCAAGTAAGCTTGTTGATCATAGTCTGTAACAAAGAGATTCATATATTGTTTTGAATATTATCCTGTTTCCATATAATTTCAGCTACTGTTTAAATCCACATAATTTACTAGGTATATAGAGGCCAGTTTTCAGAGAAGATGAGTACCCACAGTTCCCAGACCACATCTGCAGTGGTAGGAATATAAATCTTTTGAAAGCCAGACTGCAGTTCTCCATTGTGTTACAGTTTAGATTAGTATGAACAAATTTGATTTTTTTTCCTCATACTGCTAGAGAGCAGCAATGAAGTGCATCTCACCTATGACTATATAAAGCTAGGTTGTATAGGCTTGCTCTCTAGCCAATGGAGAGGGATGGCACTATCACATCTTAAAGAGATATTGGGTGGGCGGGTTGAATCACATTGGACAACCAGCTTAAACTAGATCTTTATCCTAGAGATGGATGAAGTGAGATAAGACATTTCCAATTCCTATTTCATAAGGTAAAGCTACTGTCACAGAAGTAGAGACCACAAATAATTATTTGTGCTCTTTGAAAGAGCTCTTAATTGTTAAATTGTCACTTTTAAAAATACAGATAAGTTTTAAGGCTTGGTTTTCTAGGAAAATGCATTTATCAGCTGTGCACTCCTGCCTTTTGCAATAATTTCTGATTTTGTTAGCCACCTCCTGTCCCTTTTGAATAAAGACTAGAGGCCTCAAGATAATATTAAAAGGCTCAATTGGTGGGTGGGTTGAAGGAAAGCAGAACATGCTAACTTGGTCACTTCACTGAAGAAAAAGAATGTAACATGAACTCATCCCATATTAAAGACCAGACTACCTGCACAGGATATCTAACTGCAGAGGCAAACATGCAGAGTCTGGCTTCACTGGCTCTACATTATCACAACCATTATTTTGTGCGGTGCGTTGCACAGCGTGGCCATGGCTCACTAGAAGAAATACGATGCAGTTTCATCATGCTGCTGTACCCTGAACATGGTGGGAATGGATTGAATAGGCTAAAGTAACAGCATTAGCAATACAAACTAAAGAGGAACTTACCCTTTAACTGGGAAGATTACTCTCCAAGAGTAGTTTAACTCACTAGAAATACTTACAACACATCTATAAATGTCTAGTAGTAGATCAGTCTAGCTAGTTTTAAGCTATCTTCTAGACAAAACAGAAGTCAAGCTTTATGCTGCCTTGCCAGGAAAGGAAGAGATTGCTAGTTTCCTAGCTGCTTTCTTGCACAGGCTGCATTGACTTGATGAAGAGCTTACTTCGAGCTAGTTTTTTTTTTGGTACCAGCTGTCACCCACTTCCAGAATGTGTCTGATTTTGGGCAGAGTTATTCTGCTGATCATGTAACCCCATATATATTCCTGTAATCTTCACATTATAAGACTATCTGCCTTGGATTGTGGAGACTACAGAATGTAATATTAACATTTTGAACACTTTGCATTTCATTAATATTTGATTGGCACATAGCAGCAATTATTATATTAAAGATTATCTAGTTTTGATGTGTACATACCACCAGAAGGGTGGGTTGCTAATCATTTTGCAGAAACAGAATATACTTCTGGATGAATAATACTAACAAAGTAGATTTCCTATCAGATACACATTTAGCTGAAGGCAGGGCAAAGAAACCTGTATTTTTGTTATATATTTCAAATACACTCTTAGGGTGCATTTGAAAACAGTTATCCCAAGGCATCCTTCTGAAGGCAGCAAAAGGAGTTGGAAAATGCCTAGACCTGACCCTCAAAACTCAGTAAATGGGATGAAAGGAAGGATCATCTTAATATTGGTCTTCCCACACCTTACTCAAATTTGCTGCTTATCTCCGAGTCCCACAGATGTTCAAAAAGGGCACTAGCATCTCGCTTCCCTTTCATACACATTTAAAAGGAATGTGGCAGTACAAAACATATGGGCTAAAGCACTTGTTAGCAAAGCAAGGAGTGTGAAGGTCATTTATAAGTGGACACCAGCATTTGTTTTAGTGTTGAAATATCAGTCTATGAGGGCACTTGTCATATATCAGTCTCCTTTCCCACCACAGAGGATGTTCAAGACTTAAAAGTGAGGTAGGAAAGTTTGATCCCTCCCAAACTCCTAAATAAAAAAAAAAATTACTGTCCCAGAATACTCAATTTTAAGTACCTTAGTAGGATTTTATTTCAGGAGGTCTGTATGCATGTACTCTTGTGGGTGAGAGGGTGGGGAAAATGACAAAACAAACCACACACAAACTCCAAAAAAACCATTTCTGGTCTTTTTGCAAAGAAACGATGTAACCCCTTCCTCACCACCAAAACCAAACAGAACAGCCAAAACCTGCCAATAGTTAACTTCAAGTCAAAGCATTTTTCAAGAGTATCGATTTCATGGAAATAATTATGTACTGCATCAGATCATATTTGATGACCATCAAGGTCTGGATCCTTCTTGAAGTAGCTAACTGACTTCATCCAAAAGAACTCCTAATTCAGGAACTGCTTTGTAATTCATTGGTTTGTCCAGCAAACATAGGCAAAACTTCCTTTTTCTTGCATCTTGCTAGACTGCTTGTGGAATTAATCTGTTATACATACCGGTCTTCTTTTATACAGTAGGTATATGAAATGTAAAAGGTTAACAACCAAAAACACAGAATTCCAGATCATTACGTCCAAGGCACAACGGTAGAGTGTAGCCCAAATGATGAACAATGCACATCCTGTAAAAATTAAAAAAAGGAAGTTAAATTTCACCAAGCAATGAACACACTTGTACAAAGTCATCAAGAATGTGTCCACTGGGGGTAATTACACTGAACAGCAATATATTCCACAAGCTTTGCTACAGTTAGGCTCTATGGATCAATGCATGCACTGGTAGCAGAGCTAATCACTACAGTGCTACAAACAGGCACTGAGAGCAGGTTGACAGCAGACTCCAGTCTTATTGCATGGGACTGCAATACTGGAGCGACAATAATTCAGATCAGGACTGGGGAAAGCAGTAAGGTGCAGCCCCATGATGATCTGTTACTAAAATGAAGCAGAAATGAGATAGGGAAAGACTGTATCTTAAGTAATAAAAATAATTAAGTGACTCACAAAACTTTATTACTAGTATTGCATTAATTAGACAAACAAGAGCCTAAAAAAATATCCTAAAGTCATACCCAGATATTTTTGAAAATCTAAACAAAATATCATCGTTGCATTTTTGACAAGGTCACAGCAGGAACCTGAATTCTATTCTATGACATCAAAGAGAAAATTTCAAATGCTTACACTTTTTTTTTTGCTTTACTTTGCCTTACCTTTTAAAGCAATTGTCATTATTCATTCTGTATGATTAGGGATACTATTTCTAGCCTATAAAGACAATACTTATCAAATGATAGATTATGCATCATTGTGTCTCTCACAGGTAACTGTGAGCCTGCCATCTGATAGAGATGGCTGTAGAGGTCACATATATTTTCCCTTAAGTTCCATGCAAAGACAGCAACAAGAAGAAGGTGACAAATTAGTGTCCCTTTCTCCCTGAAGATGATGCTGAATTCATGAACTCAGTATTATCTATTCTGTCTGGGTTGCTGCTTGGCCAGCCAGCACTTATGTACAGATCAGGAAAATCACAATGTGATGACTCTTGATCAGCTGGTTAATTAGACTACAAGGGAGGGGAGGATATGAGGCCTGGAAATGTTGAAGAGGACCGATATTGTGGAGCCACACAGAGGTGTGGCAGGTTCATCAGAGTTAAAGGGGACAGATCCCTAGGAACCAGGCTTTGTTACTTCTGCTGCCCACAATAAATTTGCTTCCAGCTGCCACCTCAGCCTGAAAAACTCCGATTCCCTATCTCTTCAGAGTGCAACAACACCTACAGACCAAAGTGGCAGGCTCAGCAAGTGCAGAGCTCCCATTGCTTTTAAAACAAGAACTACACAGACAAAAAGTCTTGCAATACTCAGACCCTTGGTCTTCAGTGCAGTCTGTTTTCATAAGTTCTCCTACAATGGTTATAAAAAAGAAAAGGCAAGATCATTGTAAGTTCAGCCATAGAAGTTATATGATATAATAGTATGGGTCAGTTTTATGAATAAACATTCTCCTTTAAAATTACTTAAGCATGCTCTGTGTTGTGATACACCCAGGTTTATCTTTCTTACACTGCAATCTCCTTTGATCACATAGGCCTTGTCCCACACAAAGCACTTGGGCTCTTAAATAGCTGTGGGACTGCAAAAGTATTACAAATGAAACCATGCTTGCTTAGTCTTGAACATGCCAAATTTAGTTTTTCCTCTGAAGTCAAACTTTAGTATCCCAAGATGCCTACAGTGGTGGAGGAAATAAGACCAACTTCAGGAGAACAGACTGCACTCCATATCAAAAGCCCATGCTTCTATATCAGCAATGAAAATAATGCTGGTGATCCACAAATGCCACGTGTTTGAATCCACATTTAAAGAACACATGGGGCAACGTCAAGCTTCTCAAGGAAAACCTTACCTATTGCAGTCGTACCAGTCAATGTACTTACCTGAAAACTAAAATTAAGGTCTTAAGGATCCATAGACTTAACTATTATTTGGAATTTAATGAACTTTAAGCAGCCAGTCATGTCTGAAGTAAATGGGGTCCACTTGTTTTCTAGTCAACATCTACACAGGTTTGAAGATAAAACTTCGCAGAAATACAAGTTACAAGAGCCTAGAGACATATAACCTTTCTATAAAAGGTCTGTCGGCATCAGAACAGACCCCCACTTACACCAAAAACACCTTCAGCAAAGTACAACCACCATGAATATGTGCTAGAATATCATGATAAGCTGAAGGGACCAGGAGAAAGCTTCGTAATGGTCATGAACTGCTATTTCTGCCACAGGAAGGTTGCAGATGTCTCCAGAATAATTCTCCTACCTATGGTGAGCAGGCCTCGCAGAAAAATCATATGAAGATTCAGAGTAGTTGGAATAACCAGTCCAACTGCAAAGCAAATGTTTGCCACATGGAAAACAAGATGATGAATCTCTTTCCAGTTTTCACATGCAGTCTCATTGAAAGGCACAAGTGTGGCATTTTTTAAGTCTGGAATAAAACCTAGCGGAGTAACAGTGAGTGGGCTCATTGTTGTAGTATTCATCTTGGAGAGTCCTGCAATGAGAGAGAGGGGGGGGAGGGAAAAAAAAAAATCACTGTGCATTAAACTGAAATGTATTAGACATACTGTGGTGAGCTGACCCTGGCTGGATGCCAGGTGCCCAAAGCTGCTCTATCATGCCCCTCCTCAGCTGGACAGGGGAGAGAAAATATAACACAGGGCTTGTGGGTTGAGATAAGGACAAGGATAGATCACTCAGCAATTACTGCTGCAAGCAAAACAGACTTGACTTGGGGAAAATTAATTTAATTTATTACCAATCAAATCAGAGTAGGATCATGAGAAAAGAAAAACCAAATCTTAAAACACCTTCCCCCCACCCCTCCCTTCTTCCCAGGCACAACTTCACTCCCAATCTTATCTCTCTCCTCACCCCAGCAGCACAAGGGGACAGGGAATGGGGGCTGGGGTCAGTTCATCACACGTTGTCTCTGCTGCTCCTTCCTCCTCGGGGAAGACTCCTCACACTCTTCCCCTGCTCCAGCGTGGGATCCCTCCCACAGGAGACAGTCCTCCAGAAACTTCTCCAACATGAGTCCTTCCCATGGGCTGCAGTTCTTCATGAACTGTTCCAGCGTGGGTCCCTTCCATGGGCTGCAGTCCTTCAGGCACAGACTGCTCCAGCGCGGGTCCCCCACAGGGTCACAAGTCCTGCCAGCAAACCTGCTCCAGCATGGGCTCCTCTCTCCACGGGGCCACAGGTCCTGCCAGGAGCCTGCTCCAGCGCGGGCTTCCCACGGGGTCACAGCCTCCTTCGGGCATCCCCCTGCTCTGGCGTGGGGTCCTCCCCGGGCTGCAGGTGGAGATCTGCTCCCCCATGGACCTCCCTGGGCTGCAGGGGGACAGTCTGCCTCACCATGGTCTTCCCCACGGGCTGCAGGGGAATCTCTGCTCCGGCGCCTGGAGCACCTCCTCCCCTCCTTCTGCACTGACCTGGGGGGCTGCAGGGCTGGTGTTCTCACATCTTCTCACTCCTCTCTCTGGCTGCCATTGCGCAGTTGCTGGGGGTTTTTCCCCCCTTCTTAAATCTGTTCTCCCAGAGGCACTACCACCGTTGCTGATGGGCTTGGCCTTGGCCAGTGGTGGGTCCGTCTTGGAGCCATTTGGTATCGGCTCTGTCGGACATGGGGGAAGCTTCCAGCAGCTTCTCACAGAAACCACCCCTGTAGCCCCCCACTACCAAAACCTTGCCACGCAAACCCAGTACACATACACATGGATTTTGGGTTATTTTCTGTCTTCCCAGGAAATATTTTCCATTATCATTCATGGGGAAAGAAAAAAAATCTACAGATGCTTTAAAAGGGTAAGCTAGATCTATAGTTCAGTAATGCTTTAGTATCTCCTTTCACCCAAGTGCTAGGCTTGAAGAATGATACATTTCAAAGTTTGGATGGTATGTACATAAACACTGAACATTAGCTACTGACCGTCATTGCTCAGTACAACATCCTATGTATTCTTCCTAGTCCTACACAAATAAAATCACATTTCAGTCTACTATTTATTGAATGGGTCCACTATCTTAGGCAAAGTAAATATTTAAGAGAACTTAATTTAGATGAGAATTGAAAGAAAAAAGCTTATGTAGTGTAAGTCTCCTTTATGGCATACAAAGCTGTTCTTCTAAATAAGGAATGGAAGGTCTTAAAGGAGGAACACATACTGTTTGGTTGATTAAAAAAGCCAACAAACCACACAAAAGCAAAACCAAAGACAGTCTGAACTACTGGTTTTCTTGCAGGATCATTTGGAGATCTCCTAAGCCACATATAACCTTGCACACATTAACCAAAGCAGGCAAAAACCCCACCCCAAACCATTTTTGAGAACAGTAAATAAAAACTACCGTTTCTCCTCCTAGTTGATGAGATGCTACCAAGTCAGAAAGGGAGATGCCCAGGCTAAGTTATGACAAGGTTGCCAGTCTTTCAGGGAAATCACTTGGTCTACCTAGTATGAGCAACCTTGCAAGACCTTTGGTTGTCTGTGGAACTCCTGGAGAAAACAAGACAGTTGAAAAAGCTGATTTCTAATCTAAAAATACATACTTTTTGTTGCTGTAATGATAAATCTAGCATATTTTCCTTTCACAACAATTGAAAAAAAGATATCTGTGGGTAAATATCTTCCCAATACAAGTAAAAAACTCCTATTAAAAACAAACTACAAAGAAGAACCAGAAGATTTCAAGACACTACCTTTAAGAGCTGGTCTCTGTAGGGAACTGCAGTCAGTGTTACAAGCACTCCAGAAGGTCTTCTCAACCCAGAGCAGCTCCCAGCTGGAGCAACACGCCTGTTGCCAGACAGGCTGTCAGAAACATGGGAGAACCCTGCTTCCAGCAAGGCACATATGGTCCCCCACTGCCACAGCAGTAGAGATTATATGGAGCTCGGCTTGAGTCTCATTAATGAAATACACACACATATCACTGAGCAAACAGGCTCCGTAACATGCAGCACAGGGGGATTTGCATTTAAGCAAATTCTGTAGAGACCATGCACGTCCCCGCTGTGTGTGCTTACTAACTGTCATGTAATTCATCTGCTCAGCAGACAATTTTGAGTCACAGTTAATACACTCAGTATTTCTTGCAGATTGGAATACACTCAGCATTTCTCTGTTACTTGAGAGTGCTTCTTGGGCTGTGAAGTAATTTTGAGTTGCTTCAGCCATTCTTTTTATTATTTTCCCCCCAATCAACTTGTGTACAAGGCATAAGCAAGCTGGACAATTTCTGAAATTAATCAGTCTTTTAAACCCCTTTTTAAAGTAATGGGAAGAAAGAAATCATAAAGAAAACCTCAACCTACTGATAGTTCCTCTCCGATGCCCAGAGCCTGTCACAGCTAAGGCATGCCACAGAACATGCAGAGGCATCTTGCAGGATCAAACACCAGCATGAACATAGTGTACACAGTCCCAGATAGAAATGATTTTTAAAGAAAAAATATATTTATTTTTTACCAAAATGATAATTCATATTTCATCTCTTAAGGGCTCACTTTCTTCTTTTTATTGCTATATTAGTTATTCACAAAGGTTAACTAAAACATGGGTTTTGGCACAAACAAGTTCTATACTAAATTGTTACCAGTAATCATGGTGCCCGAACAAATTCATGGTCCAGGTATCCTAGAGGCACCATCCAAACACACATCCTATTTTCCTTCAGCCCTTCTGCATGAATTTAGTGACAAGCTTCACTGTACTGACAAAGCTGCTCACACACGCAGCCAAAGCGTGAGCCTGTACGAGGCTGCAGGATTGGCATTTTAATGCGCTCATAAACAGAAGGTAATTGCTAACTCTGGGTAATCGTTTGTGCTCATCTTGCATCTCATCACCGTGCTCCTGTTTTCAAACAATGTAAAGTCCCTACACTGGAACAGCAGGATCTCTAGATCTTTTGCAAAAAGTTATCAGCTGAGTTTCTACCTACATTCAGTCTTTCACTGCCTAGTCATCTGCCAATAAAAGCACCACTTAACATGCCAACAGAACGAGCACACACAACCAAACTCACATACAGATACAGAGCCAGCCACAAGTCCATCAACTCATCTCAAGATCAAAACAGGCTGTAGGAAGTAACTTCAGCTGCATACAATTACAAATCAACAAAGCTTTCCAGACACTTGATTTTTTTAATAGCAAAATTTCATACTGTATCACTGGGAGATTAGAGGCTACCTTACTCTTTAAGATTCTGTAAAGCATCACACCTTTGAAGACTGGAAACTCAATAAGCCACATCAACTATACGGCACATGACAATCCCATTCTCCTCACAGCCCAGCCAAAACACTGCTCCCCTCATTCACCACAGATACCGGTGCCACAAACCACCAGCCATAAACCGTCATAAAGGCAAGATGTTTCTCCAACAAGCGTTGGCCAAGTCATTTAAAGCCATAAAGTTTCCACAGTCGTAACAGGCTGTTCAATGCTTTTGAAAATCCGGGCCACCTACTTGGTTGCCTAAATTAGAATCCCAGAACCTAAATCTAGCCACCTCCATTTTTTATAAGCTTCACCTTTAATACCTTGAAGTCTTTATATGAACTTAACTTACTACTCACAAACAACCATTGCAGTACTGCTAACGTACTGGAAAACAGCAGAAAGCTGCATAACTTCTGTCATGATGGTATTTTAAAGCTGGCAGAAATAGCTTGATGCTATCTGCAAAATGACACAAGGACAGATTGTGACACTGGCTCTGAAGAAATTCCAGCTGAATTTCAGCTAGAGAGCCTGCCTGAGGCAGGCAGGCAGAATTAAAAGCCATAACCTAAAATGTTTGCCCACAGGTAACACCAGAAAGACAAATATTCAAAATAACATCTCTGTAATTTTCAGATCAATTATTTAGTCCTAATGACTAACTGTTCTCAAATAATATTGAAGAATTAGAAAAAAATCTGCTGTTCAACAGGTGAACAAGCAATTGTCATTTCCTACCCTCTGCCACCTCAGAGGGCAAAAAATTAATTTTTTGAGTACAGAATCAGGCCTTTAAAACTTTAATTTAGGGTTATGTCTACTAAGGATTAATATAGCATGAGACTTTGAAGTCTTAAATACATGAAGACATGTACTAATATCAGGAGTTAAAAATACAACCAATCTAGTCAAATAATTCTGTAAAAAATTGGGGAAATAGTGTCAACCAAAATGAAAGTTTTATGGAGTGCAAGATGTAATTAAAGGAATATTTTTTAATATCCAGTAATTTTTCCATTGTATGGATTCAGATTTACCAAGCTAAAGAGTTCGAAAACTCAAGCCAATTTGTTGTCCAAACAGGGACAAAACCCCACAAATATTGAAAAGAATGCCACTCAGTGACACTTTAATATTAAATCTATCAGAAGTTAGTATAGTTAACAACAAAGCCTATTAATTTTTTTTTTGTGCATGAACCTGATAGAGAGTCAAGTTAATACACTGTGGTTTTAGGTCTGAAAATCCAAATTCTCAGAAT